AATACCTTTTAACAGCTGCTCATCATCGTGGTGGTGATGAACTGATGATTCACAGCTAAAATGGGTTTTGCCTTCGTGCCGTCTAGCGTTGACTGCTTGGGTTTGTCGTCATGAAGACCATAGCACGGCCAGCACTGATCTACATAAACCTGTTAGTTATACTATTCGATTAGGTCTTTCGACAAACATTTATTTCATAGCACTACCAAACAGATTGTTGCAGTCGAGAAGCTCATAATATGTGTCTAAGTGTTACTCTACGACATTTAACAATATACGTATTCCTGCTGTACTTTTAGCCGATAAATGACATCGATTGCACAGATTATGTATTCTAATTTGGTGTCTACGGCCTGACGAACTCGATCCTGGAATTTTCGGAATCCACAGGGAGAATTGCACTATCTTTGCAATTCATTCTCTTTTACAGCGATGAGCGAGGGAAAGATTTCGTCTTTTAATGGTCACTTTGCTCATGCTTCTCATTACATTTCCCATTCTTCTCCTTAATTAGACAATGAATCTTTAAAACAGTGAGAACGAGAATGGAATGTGTAATGTGTAATGTGTTATGAAATGTGTACGCCATCTACAATTTTGGACGAAGCGAATTGAATAACGCTGCAATTATTGCCAGAGAAATCGAAGGCCGAGTTTCAGCTATTATTGAGCACATTTAAATAATGGGGAAAATAACAGCATAATTTCATTTATTATTAATTTTGGTTTAGGTAATTTTTATTCTTGAGATGTGAGAATACTTGACTGTTCTTTAAAAAAAGAGAGGGAATTTTCTGCTTCTCAAAACTTTGTTTTTAGTACTCTAAATAACAATTTTAACTTTACCGTCGTTCGAAACTACATGTGAGAACATGGACTGCCCGTACACGCCTACTCTTCGTCTGTTAGTCACTGTCCATTATGCTGTAAGTAGAGCTCCTAGACACAGGGACTCTGGGGATTCTATGTATCTATGAAACGTAGTCCCTACAATGAAATAGTGAACCCACAATTCCAGGCTGAATTAGAGTCGTTTTACAGGTTTAGTTTTGATAATACCAGTCACAGAGGGAAAATATCAGTTTTGAAGGCTGTGTTGGATATTTCTATGTCATAGAGAAAGTACACTATCCTACTCGCAGGTACATACAGGTGCATACAGGCAGGAATAACGACGCTAGTTCCTACATCGCTCGTCTCGTTAAGATCAACTCGTCAGAGCAAGCCATCATAACACGTTCGTTGAAGAATACTCTATTATAGAAACCATAAGTTAATAGTGTCGATCCTCGTTTATTGAGCGATTACATAAAAACATCCCGCGTCTGTGTTTAAGTTTGTTTGATCGCTTGTACAGAATTTCTACTATCAAAATGTCAATTCATCTCTCCCTCTTAGCTGATAATGTATCTCTCTACAAATGTCCGATAAGACGGACTATTTTCATCCACTCGTGAAACATACATACCATTGATTCCTACCTCAGTCTTTTAATCATATTTGAATGAACAAAGTACGGCCTCTATATCTCGGATCGCACTGGTTAAGAGACGCTGGGGAACCGGTTTCAACGAGAATTCTGTGTGCGTGTGTGTGTATTCGAACTCCGCAGGCATGAGTGTTTTCCTCCTCCGTTGATGGGTCACCGCCATGTATCGTATATTTGTTCAGATTAACGCTCAAATTTATTGACTGATTGATTTATTAGTGATTCGTGCGCGTGAACGGCTACGGTCATGAGGGCGGTAAGTGTAGTGGATTTTTCATTGCGGGGGTGGGCGGTGATCTTCCTCCGCTTTCGGGGATTTTCGCACATTTCATCTCCCAACAGCGCGGCACCGCCCCAGTCACGACAAGCTCTACGCTCCCGATTGGTCTCTTGGTGGTTCGTGTAAGAGTAAATGAGGGGTGAGGATAGGACAAGGAAGAGGAAGGAAAGATCGCACGCGGTCCGTGGCCCTATGTTAGGGTACTCCTCCGGTATTCGCCTAGTGCTGATCGGAGGAACCACGGAAAACTACCGATCAGAGCAGCCGGTCGCGAGAATTCTCCTCCCGGCAGCGGATGAATTCGATCTTGCTACGTAGCTTATGTGGAAAATGTCGCCCCCTTCGGGACTCGAAACCTGGAACGTCGCGGTCGGGGCAAGGCAGTGACATCAATCGATGTTCTGAGCCACCTACGTCAGTTCACAATTTGAAATATATGGCAAGTTGTACGCGTCCTGAAACTATCTTTCTTGCTGTCCAGAAAGGTTTTAACGACACTAGTCGCTGCCCAGAGAACTTCGCTCAAGCATCCGGGAGGAATATTTTAAAAATATGATTAAGATTTTGTTCATTTTTATTGCTATGGTCATTGGTGAAGGGAAATTTTCACGCGGGCGTTGGCTTGTTACATGTACTGCTGTAACACAGGCCTGGCACGGACACAGGCCTGGAAACGATGACACTCGGACTGGTTTTGGTCCAGCTTCCCTCATTCTTTGAGCAAATGCTGAGATTGTCTTACCTTGTTTTACTTCTGGTAACGTAGTAGTCATAAGACCTGATTATCAATAGAAGAAGCTGATGGTAAACGAAATATACAAACAGAATGCTTTGAAAGGACCTAGTGAGTAGACCTAAAGAGCTTCTATATCCACGTTATCTGGGTTAGATTAGTTGTGGATAGTTTTCTGGAAAATTTCTATAAGTAACCCATGTATTAGAACTATGAAATTATTTTGAAGTATTAGAATTATATTGTTGTTAAAAAATAATTTAATTTAAGAAGTGTTGGCGGGTGGTCAACTGGCCCATTTTTGGCATTGCCGACGATTGCGACGCTTCACTGGGCGTTAATATACCTTCACTAGGCGTACGCTTTTTGACCTCTCCGTTTGCTAGCTGGGGTAGCGGTTGAGCCGGGGATTGATATTTTGTTAGCAATACTAGAAAATAAATACGTAATTCGTTTGTTGATGGACATAAGTGTTTTAGAACTCGGGAGCAAAAATGTCTAGCTTTTCAAATGCTGCTAACTTCGCTTTGTGGTACTTTTATTTATCTTCCAGGTTGGTATAGTAATACGTTGAGGAAGAGATTCTGGAGCTCAAAACAACATGCGCATATTATACTTCTCGTCAATATGTCGCATTGACATTTTTTGTTTTTTGCCAAAACTCATCAAATCGAATAAAAAGCGCCCAGGAATATCACTAATTTCAGCAGTCGGCCTTAGTTGCGCCAGGTGCCAACCAGTAGGCAACTCTAGTTGAACAAATGCGAATCAACAGGTGGCATTACAGTAATTTAGCGTTACTCGACTATCAACCTTCAGAGCTCCATTGCTGTAGTCTTACATTGTGCTACGATATTTCGACATCAAATCATAGAGGATGCGGGGTTGCCTTTACCGTGCATCACACTGTTCTGAGATCTGCAGAGCAAAAACTGCGCGCTGCTGCGCACTTGCTGTTAGATTCCCACCTCCACCGGCCCTCTGCGGATGGGCTGAAGGCTACCGCACGTCCTGCATGGCTGCCTGGTCAGAACGATTACGATTTCCATCACGCTCTTGTAGTCACGCGCGTCAGGTGCATTTCGTTGCTGGCAATGCAACTCCACCTATCTCAATTATGCTGTTGTTTTAGGACAGCTGGTAAACAAGTTAATAACGATTTCTGTCGTTGCGTGATTGCCAACAACATATTGTGACATCGTCGGGTGCGAGTCAAACACAGACACGGAGTTGTTCTGTACAGATTTACTTACAGGTTATCCTATACAATTTGTACTCCACTACAGAAGACCTAGTCCTGCACTCACAGCACTGCACATCCCTGAGGCATACTCACCTCAGCCTGACACAGACCCCCGCTTACTTAGCGCCGCTCCTGGTCTCTCGCCCCGTGGCAAACCGCCACTCCTCGCAGCCGAAGCTAGTAATAACCCCTGGCGAGTGAACAGTGCCTTCCCCACTGCGATTCGGTTCAAAAACGAATGACCACGGCAGGTTACTCTCCAGCCGCCTCGCGAGGGGTGACGTGACAGACATCCCATGTCGGCGGCGCCATCTCATTACCGAAACCCTGGACCTGATTGCCTTTTTGGAGCCCTGCTGCCCAGGGGGTATTCTCACCCATCATATCCCTCTGCGCCAGTTGACACCCGCGTTCCGAAACACGCCCACCCCGGCCCTTGAAGAGGGGCCCGCCTCTGGTGGCTTTCCGCTTGCCGCCAAAGGACTGCCCCCGCCCCCTCACTGGCCTCCCGACATATGGGAACCAGTGGGCACATTGGCTCGATGTTATAATATCTAAAATATCAACAGAAATATTGTCTTGAACCTTGCCTAGACTCTGATGCTGGAAATATTTGGGTTCCCAAAGAACAACCAAGTGAGAAATGAGGTGTTGTGTGTTTGAAATATGCTCTGTTTTCCTCCAAAACATCAAAGTTCCATTTGTTGGAAAAGCGACTGACCAACCATGACAAGCCGAATGAACTTGCATTCAATGATGTACACTCGTTTCTGACGAATGCTGAGATACGTGGTGTTGCTGTGTGAACGACGTGCTATGTCTCGTTCCTCCTAAACTGGCAGATTAAGTGCCTAGGAAGAATGTGACAATTGGGTTCTAATGTTCACGGGACCTATTAAGAATCCAAACAATGGCAACATTATTGACGTCTACTGAAAACTCGGTATCATTGCACCAAGAAAGTACTGTATTACTTTTATGTAATTAGTTAGCTACAGGACATATTGTCTAGATTATAGAGACTTTCTTCGCCCAACCGTGTAGTATATCCTTCGTTATCAAAATAACATTTGTCATAACAATGGGAGTATAATATTATTATTGTCGTGGATAGACGTTGCTTTTTCGTGGCAATTCAATCTAAAGGTTCTAGTCCATTATGAGTGCTTTTTTATACTTTGTTTTGCAATGATATTCCATCGCAAATGAAAACGAACTAACCTCTTGCTGTTTAATAATTCTTATACAAAGTGTATTAAAAACTTTTGAAGGAACTATTGAAAGAGAATAACTATGGAACTGTTGAAAATAGTTCTTATAAAACTGAAAATCATTTAAACGTTTATTTTATACAAGGGAATTGATTTAAAAAGAAATGCTTTTATATGGTAAATGTGTCTGAAAAGACACTTACAAGAAAGTAGACATAAAAAAGCAAAATCAAACTGCAAAAAAAAACTTCATTTTTCAAAATTCGTTAACTTGTACCAAATGCACTATTATCAGAAATCGTTAAATATGTTCATTTGGGGAAAGCAGGCACTTTTTTTAACATCCATGTCTAGTAATAATATACCGTTTTTTGTAAAAACAAAAATAACATCCCTCTATTAACCGACCACCCCTCTAAAAGACCAGTTTTATCGCTGAATGAACACTGGTCGCTTAATACAGGTTTCACTGAACATGATGCTCAATTTCTTTGGTTATGGTAACACGTTTGCTCAACGAGCCCGGTAGACTCATTTAGTACACTCACGCACATTGTAAATCAAAGTACATATAATTCCACTAACGGCACTTTCCTCACATCTCCCGCGGCGAGAGGCCGCACCAGAAGCCGCCTCTGGCGACGAGGTTGGCGCCAGGTTTGAACCGCACAGGGTACTCCGTCTTGGCGCTTGGGTGCAGGTCAAACGCGCTCAACAGGTGGACTAGCGCCGCTTTTATTTCGATTAAAGCAAAACGCTGACCTGAAAAACGAAAATAAACAAATAAAAGAACGTTAGTCTCACATTTTTTAAGTATGCCTGCCCGTAATTGGGTATTATTTCACAATGCGCATTGTAAAATGTTTTATTGCTAACCTATGCAGATCCTGGGACCCACGCCGAATGGTACGTATGTATTGGGCTTGATTTTATGTTTGTTCTCGTCATTGAATCGTTCAGGATCGAACGTCTCCGGTTCATTCCAGTACTGCGAGTCCATATGCAAACCAATAATGGGAAGGTGCAGAATGGTTCCTTTGGTTACCGCAATAGCTTTGGATGTTGAAGTAGCAGGTAGAATAGTGTCCTTTTGGCAGACACGATCTGTGGTTGCGTTTGGTGGATACATCCTCAAAAGCTCTGAAAAACACAAATTATAAGCAGCTTGGTATAAAGTAAAGAAGATTGAATAATCAAGAGCAAACTATTAACATATCCCCATATACAAGTTACGTCTCACAGATTTACTCTTTTCTGTTAGAGCTTCAAAAATAAATTTTAAAATAAGCCACTATCGTCTAAAACGATTCCGATGAAGGAGAAAATGTACTGAAATGCAATTCTTTGGAGAAACCAATTCGAAGGTAGTGATCAGTGGTTTGTATTTAAATAAATGAAATTGTAAAGGCATATAAATGAAATGGGATCTAAGTTTCTTGCCATGCCATTAGAGGATATAGGATCACAATGGAGGTATATGCTCCTGAAACTTACCACTCATGACCGCGTTGAGGTATTTCATGTTTTGAATGTCGTCGTAGGAGGGCCTCCCGTCGGTCCTTTCCATCACCTCGTCCACTTCTGCCTGGAGGCGCCTCTGGATATCAGGATGATGGGAGAGAACAATCGTCGCCAAACACAATGTTGATGTGACCGTCTCAAATCCCCCAAAGAAGAAGATAACAGGTTGCGCAGTTATGTCGTCGTCCGACAGTGCTGAAAGAATTCCGTCAATGAATCATTTATTTTCACGACTGCATTCATGTGCGTATCATACCCGTTCTAATTCCCATCCAATCAACATTACTGTTCGAAACAGCACCCACTTTACTCTTCCCTTGGTTTGGGTTTGAAGAGATTGTTGTTGATTGAGCGTACTTGTTTGTATAATCAACTGTTATCGTTTCAGTGAAAAGTTTAAGCCATGTCATTGTTGTATACCGTAGTAAGCCACCGATCCTCCCAACTTCATTGTCAATACCTGCTTACTGCTCAGACGACCGTCATGCAGTAGGGTTTGATAATGTAAACGTTAATTGGGACCCTCGGTTGTGAGTAAAATGGCTCAAAGCGTAAGAACTGTTTTTTAAAAATATTTTTTAACGATATCAGTTTAAAAAAATTGTATGCGCTTTAATGACTTTTATACATGAATAACAAATCGAACATTCGTCACGTGATAAAAATAATAGTGAAAATAATAATAATAATAATAATAATAATAATAATAATAATAATAATAATAATAATAAAAATAATAATACATTACCATCTGGCGATGCGCAGGTGAAATGCAACCCCGTTGCAATATGTAAACTGCGAGTTTTCTAACACGTTTTAAGAAATTTGTTCTTGTATATGGAAGAAAGACATTGACAAATATCCACTGATAGTTTTTCTCCCCTGTGATAAATTTCCCAATTTAGAGTGTTTCTCCGCAAAACAAGAATATTAGACTTCAGTAATCCAGAACGTTCACTTGTCCCACCATTCCAGGACTTCTCCGAGGACACAGTCTACCACGTCCCAACTGTGCCTATTCTTCCCTTGTATTTTGAAATATATATCAATGATTTTTGTGTATGAATGACCTGGCCCATTACATTTGGAAACTAGTGAATGAAGTGGATGTAAGCAAACCATAATGAATCCCTCCGATGAAGCATACGGTTCGGGGCCACTAAGCTGTCATCTTATCAGCTGTCAGTTCTCCGCTGTCCCCTCAGACCGTAGGTCATTTCGAATTCGCGTTGTACAGTACTTTTCTGTCTAACAGAATCCAAGCGTTGCGAAAGAGATACGGAGGAGTCCTCGACAAACAGCGATCGACATCGTACCACTTGTAAGGGTAATACGAGTAATGCAATCACTCATCGTATTATTGCGAAAAGTTTTTACTCAAATTATTGTCGTCTAGATGATACGAAATTAATGCACATCACACAAAAAGCTACGTATCGTCCTACCTCAAGTCCTGCATATAAAACACAATTTTGTGCTCCAAGCAAGCCAAAACTTGGTAGCTGCAGTAATTTCTGCAGTAATTTCTCATTAATTCATTATGATATTTATATCTTAATTAAAGAAACAAAAAGGTCTTCGTTCTGAATCTATTTTTCGTGTATCAATACCAAGATTCAGTCGTGGCACTCACATGTAAAATAATCTACACAGAATCACCGAAGTAAACGTCACGTTTACAATTACTTGCGCACAATTTTAAACAAGCGATTTTTTCATTAATACAAAAGTTTCTTTGTATAATTAGTGAATAAAAATACAAAACTACTTTCGTCCTTCGACTGTATCTTCATTTTCCATCTTCGAATACCAACTAAACAAAAAATGCGTAACTTGCTGTGTACGCGCCAGGCATTTGAACCACGCGCGGCACCCATTTCCAGGTTTTGCAGTGCAATTACGGAGCGCCGGGCTGCTTCTCCAAGCCAATCGCCCGGCTGGCCTCTCATTGGCCAGCCGTGCCTTTAAAACTCCGACAAAGCGGAGGTAAGAATAGCTAGTAGTTGAGAAGTAAGATCAATACCAGCGTCTAGAAGTCGGGTAGAAGGTAGTCGGATACGGTGACCCGACGCAGTTGTTTTGGTTCCTTCGGTTGAGGAACTTGCACTTCGGCGCACCTGGAACTGAGCAGGGTTCCTTTCACGGCTTCTCTCCTGAACCACAGACTACAACCTCGCAAGGCTACGGACTTTCTACGGGACATTGGCTGCTGCCAACCGCTCTTCTGGACGTGGGGTCCTTTCCCTGCATCCTGAGCCTCCCAGCCGCTTTTGTGCGCTCCACTACACCCTTGATACCGGTACGGACCTATTGTATCTTTCGTCATGTTGTGTGTATAATAAATGTGTGTCTGCCTTGTTTTTAGACTCATTTGCTTAAATAAACAACATAAATAAAAGTGGTATAATTTGAAAAGTTTTCATCTGATTTTTAACTGTATATTATAGGCATCTACTTGAATTTAACGGAACTATTTAATTATGCCTGTACTTGAAAAAGTCCGAGGAAAAATGTGTATAGGGGACTTGTAACCAAGCAGATTCTGCCTACCCACGTGGCAATGTTTACATCCACTTCGTTCTTTCTTGGGAGTAAAGAATAGTGTCTTTGAAGTTGTTGAAGTGGAAAGTACGAGAAAGAGCAACGGAAATAAGCTTTGCTAGATCTACGGCCACCACCACCACGACTTCCTCTTCCGAGGTAAGTCTGCCCTATGCATCTTTTTTGAAAATATTTATGATTGTTCTGGCCTCTTCGAAAATGAAGTGAAAATAATAAGAAAGAATGCGTTCGCTTGGCACTTTCGCCAGGTGCTCAGCCTTCGCCGCATCCTCCTCCGTTGAGAGACTGACCTTTCCTTTGTACTTGAAAATGTACACGAACCTCGTGATCATGATTCAAAGACAATCAAATGAAAATACTGAGCATGAGCAAAAGACGTATGCTTGGCGCTCCCATTCAGGCCATCGTCCTCCACCGCGTCTCCCCTT